TGCCAATTAAAATCTTCTAGGATTACTCTTGCTGCTTTAAAATTAGCCATATCAGCAAACCATGGCCTTTGTTGAATATACAACAGTGTTTCATCTGAAAAAGACTCCCAAATGTCTTTTTTTTTTGCTTGTGACTTCACCATTCACTAACCAGGATAGATGATCAACAATCACATTCTCACTCCCTTTCTTGTCACGAATTTCCACATCAAACTCTTGCAGTAAAAGTACCCATCTAATCAAACATGGTTTAGAGTCAGGTTTAGTTAGTAAATACTTTATAGCTGCATGATCCGTGTAAATGATCACCTTAGAACCAGTGAGATAAGGTCGAAAATTTTCCAAGGCATATACTATAGCAAGGAATTCCTTTTCTGTACTGGCATAATTCAACTGAGCTTCATTAAAAACTTTGCTCGCATAATAGATGGTATGAAAAACCTTCTCCCATCGTTGACCAAGTACAACACCTATTATTAGCATAAAGCTGAAAAACAGAAATTTTGATGATGTCTCAAAGTCAAGTCTCAAGTGCTCTTATTATAGGAAGATCTTCATGAAGATTTGTTTTTATATTAAAGATTTTTTAATTTAGTAGATTTATGTATAGGATGTGGTTTATATTTGATTCTATGTATTGTTTGCCTTAGGTTGCGTTAAAATTATTATGATTATAATTATAAAAATAGAAATTATAGGAACCAAAATTATGTTACTTGTTTTTATTGCATGAAAAATGGTCATACATCAAATAAATGTAGAATAAACATTATGGTGTTCCAATGGAATATATGCATGGATTCCAATTATAAAATAATTTGTCTCTAACTTTAAAGGACCCAAATAAGTATTTTTGGGTACCAAAATATTCTTTTTTCTATTTTGCAGGTTATTCCAAAATTAAGGAAGAAGTTTTTGGGTGTGCACCAAAACTTGGTAAAGTATGGTTTGTTAAATTAAGGGGGAGTTTTTAACATGAAAAGAAAATTTTGAGAATTTTTTTTAACTACTTCTCTTTCTTCCTTAAAGAATCAAATGCAATTTAATTTTGTTGAAGTTACTCAATAAATAGGAGTATTTCTTTATCGTGTTTTTATTTATTTATTATGATTCCTGAATTTTTTGTATTTTCTATGTTTTGAATTATACCTCCTGTTTCCCTTTAATAAAAATTATGATAATTGTTATTTATTTATTTATGACTTATATTCAAGGGGAGTTCTTATATTTATGGGGAGAAAGTTTTTTAAATGATAGATAGCGCCTTTTTAATAATGATAAAAAAGGGGGAGAAATACGTTTTAAAGGCTTAATTATATTTATCTCTTATCTACTAATCTCTCTTCTTTAAGTTATGCATGAGTTACATATCAGTACAGGTTACAAAAAGCTTTAAATCAAAATATTTTTGATCATCATCAAAAAGGGGGAGATTGTTAGCATAAAGCTGAAGAGTAGAAATTTTGACGATGTCTCAAAGTCAAGTCTCAAGTGCTCTTATTACATGAAGATCTTCATGAAGACTTGTTTTTATATTAAAGCTTTTGTAATTTAGTAGATTTATGTATAGGATGTGGTTTATATTTGATTCTATGTATTGTTTGCCTTAGGTTGCGTTAAAATTTATTTTTGAATCAGAAAACCTCATTTTATACTCAAGATAATTGATTATCAATTTATAATAATCGATTATCAATAATCAATTATGACTTGCCATAATTGATTACAATGAGCAATTATGAGAATTTTTAAGCAAGTTTTTTTTACCGTTGTGCATTCATTAAATGCATAATTAATTACCATAATTGGATAATTGATTATCACACATTAATTAGTTGACAACGGATTTTTGGAGGTATCCTTTAGTGAGATCTGTATAAATCAAATTGGGACTCTCATTCTAAAATATGAAATAAGTGTATTTCAGAAAATCTTATCTATAGTATGCGGTGATAAGTGTTCTAGGGTTTGTTGAACCCTTGTGTTGTGGCTTTGAGAACTTGGCGTGTTGGCATAGAGGGAGAACTTTCACAGGGAGTGTGATTGAGTGTTGTTGCTATTGCTGAGTTAAAAGCCTATCATCCTTTGTGAAGCATTGGTAGAAGGTGTTCATCCTTTGTGAAGATTCAGAGGAGGTGTTCATCCCTTATGGGTTACAGGGGAAGTGACTTTCATCTCTTGGGGGTAACAAGAGAGGTGGTTTCTAAACTTTTACAAAGTGTTTCTTTGTGATTGTAATTTGTAATTGTTTTGTGAGTAGTGAATNCCTACAATTCAAAGGGAACCAAAAAGAGAAGGTTTCCAATCCTTTAATTCTTCTTCAATTATCTTTAAGTCTTTGCATGATAAATTCTTTTTAAACCAATTACCACACCAATTTTCATTATACTACCCTCTTCAAAATACGACAATTTAAATCTTGAGTTATTGCTACCCTTAGGGATACAAGAAACTCAAGATAAAAGAAAAGTAACTTGTGAATTAGGACTTTCAGATTTCCTTAAAACCATAAAACAAAATCCTTATTCTAAAGTTACTTCCACAAAAAAATTCTTTCTTGGATTGATACTAATTGGAGATATATTTGATGTTTATTATAGATATATTTTTGATCCAGGAGGAAAGTGACAAACCAAAGTTGTGCTTCTTTATATCTTCCCGATTTGAGGACAAATCGTTTTTTTCAAGAGGGAGGGTATGATGGAAACCCATTTAGGGCATTCCATTCAAAGGAGTACCAACTTAAGATAAGGCTAAGAAAGGGAAGTTGGAGAAGGACTTTTAGAAAGCTCTTTCTGGATTTTCTTTCTCTAAGTCTTACAAGGATTCTTTTTAAATACTTATATGGTTGTTTGTAGGGTCTAATAAAGCTTGGAGACCATGGTTGAGCCACTCAAAAAGCATGTGAAGCCAAGGAAAGCAAAGAAGATAAAAGGGGGAGAAAAAGAGGTGATTTCTGGATTGGAGAGCTTTGCTTCCGGATTAGAAATGCAAAGGAAATTGGCTTCCAGATTGTAATCCGCGCCCAGCCACAACCATGCCTGGCTCAGCCACTGCGTATTAGATTTTGATTTTTGCATGTTTTCCTTGTGTGCTTGGAGTGTGAAGCGTTACCCAACTAACTTGGCTCTCAAGCTCAACTTTTATTTGAATTTTTGGAGGGAATTTAGGCCATAATTGAGGCCCCTCTTCAGCTATAAATAAGAGGGCCTCTCCTTTGTAATTTTCACTTTGGAGTGTAATGAAATGCTGTAGAATTTGTTCCAGCCTCTTATACTCTCCAGTCACCTAAGAATTCCGAATTCTCTCATTCTCCTCTAGCTTCCTTCTTGAGTAGGAAGGCCTTCTGAGCTTGGAGGCATCATACACACACCACACCTTCATCCAAACTTTCATCAAACACCTTCTATGCATCCATTTCAATGCACCAAATCTCATTCCGCTGTGCATCTATTTTGGAGCTTCTTCTTGCGTGCTTAATGCTAGGAGAGAGTTCTATCACATATATAATCAAGAATTACTTGAATACATGAGAGTTTACAAAGGTTACATCATTCCCCAACAACAAATAGAGTTAAGTTCACCATTGACATGGTGAAACTAGATGAATAATGGAAAAAGAATGAAAAGTAAAACCCTAGAAATTGAAGATATGAGCTTCCGCATCCAAATCTGCCTCTGAGGGATCAAAGAATGTGTTTCTGTGGTTATTTCGTCCAAAGATGTAAACCCTAGGATGACCAAGTCCTTAAATAGAACATAAAAATAATAGAAAACGGGTCCAAGCGCATGAGACTGGCGCTCAACGCCCCACTTAGGGCGCCCAGGCGGTGTGCGGGTCAGAACTAGCGCTGAGGGTCAGCTCAGAAGGCAAGCAGGCGTGATGTGACTCGAGGAAGTTGCGCTCAGTGTCCCTGAAAAGGGCGTCCAGGCACGAGCCAAGGGTATCCTACGCTAAGGGCTCCAGAAAAAGGGCAACCAATCGTGAGATAGTGTACTCTAGCGTTGAGGGCCCCTAAAGTGGCGCTCAACGCTGCTGCGATCCTCCTTTCTCATGCTTTTCCAGTTCTTCCTGAGTTCCAACTCCTTACTACTTCAACTCTTCTTCCAAATCATCTCAAGGGCTTTTCTATGGTTTGTAATGTGGCTGGGCTAAGAAGAAAATTGGTTTTTCTGGATCACAAAATCCTTGAGTTAAGAGAGTCATTCATAACAAAACCTCTCTTTTCAAGAAACCATTCTCACTTATTCCCAACTTTGCCTTGCATTGAGGTTTTCTTTTCTTTTTCTTTTGCTTTTCATTTGCTCAATACTTAGCTCAATGCCCATTCTCTTTATTTTCCGTTTTCAGATTTCCCAACAACCCCAAACTTGAACCTTTATCAATACCACACAAATATTCTCAACTTAATTCAAGGTAAAGATTTTCAAAAAGGTTTTCATATAATTTTTAAGGTTAAAGGTTTAAAGGATAGAACACATTGTGCTCTCTTTTTTTGGGCTAAAATCATGCATTGGATAAAAAGGGATAACAACAGATGGCCTTGATCATATGACACATGCATGCAAGTGATTCTATCATAGAAACCTGGGCAAAGTCATTCATGTTTTCAAAGTAATAGCAATCATTCATCAAAAAATCTGGAGTTCAATCCTCACACAGGCTAATTCAAGTTCCAACATTTAGATAAACATCCTGCTTAGTAACACAATCACAAATCATCATGTATCTGTTTCACAATATTATGAGCAACCACTTATATATCAGCATCATGCATGATCTCAACATCAATCAATATAATCAGCATCATAAAGAAACACTCATCACAAACATCATCATCATCAAACCATTGCATCACAGATAAAGTTTTAAGCCAAGTACATCACATCCTAGACTAATAATAAAAGCAAATAAATTCAAAACAAAAGGAATAAGGTTAAAAAACTGGGTTGCCTCCCAGTAAGCGCTTGTTTAATGTCACGAGCCTGACCCAATAAGCTCAAAGATCAACCAACTCCATGATTGTAGAAAGGCATTCATCCTCACCACCCAAATAATGCTTGAGACGTTGCCTATTTACCACCCAACTTCTTTGTGGATGTTCAGCAGACGAATTTGTCAACTCAATTGCTCCATGTGGATGAACATTCTTAACTGTAAATGGACCAGACCACTTAGACTTCAACATCCCAGGAAAAAGCTCTAAGCGTAAGTTGAACTATAACACCCGCTGTCTTGGATGAAAAACCTTCTTTACCAGCTTCCTGTCATGATAAAATTTTACATTTTCTTTGTAATTCCTAGAGGAATCATAAGCATGCAACCGCATCTCTTCAAGCTCAAGAATTTGCCTTTTTCTCCTATCATGAGTGTCAAATGGATCAAAATTTAAGAACTTCAAAGCCCACAAAGCTCGATGTTCCATCTCCACTAGTAGATGACATGCTTTTCCATAGACTAACTGAAAAGGAGATAGCCTTGTAGCTATCTTCATTGCCGTCATGTATGTCTAAAGAGCATCATCTAGCTTTTGAGACCAATCCTTCCTTGATGAAGCAACTGTTTTATCTAGAATCCTCTTTATTTCCCTGTTAGACACCTTTGCTTGTCCATTTGTTTGTGGATGATAAGGTGAAGCCACCTTATGTTTCATTCCATAATGCTTGAGTACCTTTGCAAGCTGAGAGTTGAAAAAATGAAATCCTCCGTCACTAATGAGTATCCTAGGAGTTCCAAACCTGGCAAAAAATTGTCTTTTCCAAATTTTAATTACAGTGCTAGCATCATTCTTGGGACATGCCATGGCTTCTACCCATTTACTCACATAATTTACCGCCACCAATATATATTCATTATTGAAAGACGGTGGAAAAGGTCCAACAAAATCTATCCCCCAGCAATCAAAGACTTCAACCTCCAAGATACCTTGTAATGGCATTTCATGTCTTCTAGATATGCTTCCAGTTCTCTGACATTTATCATAATTTCTGGTATGATTATGAGCATCTTTAAACAAAGTGGGCCAATAAAATCCTGACTGGAGAATCTTTGCAGTTGTTCTTTCTCCATTAAAATGCCCTCCATAAGGTGAATAATGACAATGCCAAAGAATTCCTTCTACTTTTTCATGAGTAACACAACGTCTCAACAAATTATCTGCTCCAATCTTGAATAAAAACGGATCATCCCAAATAAATTGCTTTGCATCTTGCAAAAACTTTTTCTTCTGTTGCCAATTAAAATCTTCTAGGATTACTCTTGCTGCTTTAAAATTAGCCATATCAGCAAACCATGGCCTTTGTTGAATATACAACAGTGTTTCATCTGAAAAAGACTCCCAAATGTCTTTTTTTTTTGCTTGTGACTTCACCATTCACTAACCAGGATAGATGATCAACAATCACATTCTCACTCCCTTTCTTGTCACGAATTTCCACATCAAACTCTTGCAGTAAAAGTACCCATCTAATCAAACATGGTTTAGAGTCAGGTTTAGTTAGTAAATACTTTATAGCTGCATGATCCGTGTAAATGATCACCTTAGAACCAGTGAGATAAGGTCGAAAATTTTCCAAGGCATATACTATAGCAAGGAATTCCTTTTCTGTACTGGCATAATTCAACTGAGCTTCATTAAAAACTTTGCTCGCATAATAGATGGTATGAAAAACCTTCTCCCATCGTTGACCAAGTACAACACCTATTATTAGCATAAAGCTGAAAAACAGAAATTTTGATGATGTCTCAAAGTCAAGTCTCAAGTGCTCTTATTATAGGAAGATCTTCATGAAGATTTGTTTTTATATTAAAGATTTTTTAATTTAGTAGATTTATGTATAGGATGTGGTTTATATTTGATTCTATGTATTGTTTGCCTTAGGTTGCGTTAAAATTATTATGATTATAATTATAAAAATAGAAATTATAGGAACCAAAATTATGTTACTTGTTTTTATTGCATGAAAAATGGTCATACATCAAATAAATGTAGAATAAACATTATGGTGTTCCAATGGAATATATGCATGGATTCCAATTATAAAATAATTTGTCTCTAACTTTAAAGGACCCAAATAAGTATTTTGGGTACCAAAATATTATTTTTTCTATTTTGCAGGTTATTTCAAAATTAAGGAAGAAGTTTTTGGGTGTGCACCAAAACTTGGTAAAGTATGGTTTGTTAAATTAAGGGGGAGTTTTTAACATGAAAAGAAAATTTTGAGAATTTTTTTTAACTACTTCTCTTTCTTCCTTAAAGAATCAAATGCAATTTAATTTTGTTGAAGTTACTCAATAAATAGGAGTATTTCTTTATCGTGTTTTTATTTATTTATTATGATTCCTGAATTTTTTGTATTTTCTATGTTTTGAATTATACCTCCTGTTTCCCTTTAATAAAAATTATGATAATTGTTATTTATTTATTTATGACTTATATTCAAGGGGAGTTCTTATATTTATGGGGAGAAAGTTTTTTAAATGATAGATAGCGCCTTTTTAATAATGATAAAAAAGGGGGAGAAATACGTTTTAAAGGCTTAATTATATTTATCTCTTATCTACTAATCTCTCTTCTTTAAGTTATGCATGAGTTACATATCAGTACAGGTTACAAAAAGCTTTAAATCAAAATATTTTTGATCATCATCAAAAAGGGGGAGATTGTTAGCATAAAGCTGAAGAGTAGAAATTTTGACGATGTCTCAAAGTCAAGTCTCAAGTGCTCTTATTACATGAAGATCTTCATGAAGACTTGTTTTTATATTAAAGCTTTTGTAATTTAGTAGATTTATGTATAGGATGTGGTTTATATTTGATTCTATGTATTGTTTGCCTTAGGTTGCGTTAAAATTTATTTTTGAATCAGAAAACCTCATTTTATACTCAAGATAATTGATTATCAATTTATAATAATCGATTATCAATAATCAATTATGACTTGCCATAATTGATTACAATGAGCAATTATGAGAATTTTTAAGCAAGTTTTTTTTACCGTTGTGCATTCATTAAATGCATAATTAATTACCATAATTGGATAATTGATTATCACACATTAATTAGTTGACAACGGATTTTTGGAGGTATCCTTTAGTGAGATCTGTATAAATCAAATTGGGACTCTCATTCTAAAATATGAAATAAGTGTATTTCAGAAAATCTTATCTATAGTATGCGGTGATAAGTGTTCTAGGGTTTGTTGAACCCTTGTGTTGTGGCTTTGAGAACTTGGCGTGTTGGCATAGAGGGAGAACTTTCACAGGGAGTGTGATTGAGTGTTGTTGCTATTGCTGAGTTAAAAGCCTATCATCCTTTGTGAAGCATTGGTAGAAGGTGTTCATCCTTTGTGAAGATTCAGAGGAGGTGTTCATCCCTTATGGGTTACAGGGGAAGTGACTTTCATCTCTTGGGGGTAACAAGAGAGGTGGTTTCTAAACTTTTACAAAGTGTTTCTTTGTGATTGTAATTTGTAATTGTTTTGTGAGTAGTGAATTGTTTATCTTGTTTTGAGATAAGCGACTGGATGTAGGATTTGTAAGATCCGAACCAGGATAAAATCATTTGTGCAAATTTCTCTCAACCTTACCCTCTTTATTTGTCTTTATTATTTACTTGGTAAGTTTAATTGAGTAGAAATTAAAAGGCACACGTTCGTATTAAAAAGCCTCTTGGTTTATTATTCCACGCTAACCATTCCGCTGCAGCCGCTCTGACACCTATAGCATAATCACAAGCATCACACATTAATTCAAAGTCTTGATTCCAATTTGGAATTACAATAACTGGCGTAGAGACAAGCTTCTTCTTCAGAATCTCAAAAGCTTTCATCCACTCATCATCCATTACAAAAGGTGCATCTTTAACAAGGATATTGCTTAAGGGTTTAGCAATCTTTGAAAAATCTTTAATGAATCTTCGGTAAAACCCAGCATGGCTAAAAAAGCTTCTATTTCCTTTCACATTTTTTGGTGGTGGAAGTTTCTCAATGACTTCCACTTTGTCTTTATCAACTCCAATTCCCCTTGAAGAAATCTTATAACCCAAAACAATTCCTTCAGTCACCATAAAATGACATTTTTCCAATTAAGCACAAGGTTTGTTTGGACGCATCTCTGAAGCACAATATCTAGGTTATCCAAGTACACATGAAAAGAGTCACCAAACAATGAAAAATCATCCATACAGACTTCAATACATTTTTCTATGAGATATGCAAAGATAGCCTGCATACACCTCTGAAATGTAGCCAGAGCATTACATAATCCAAATGACATTTTTCTGTAAGCAAATATACCAAATGGACATGTAAAAGCCGTCTTCTCCTGGTCTTTTGGATCTACCACAATCTGATTGTACCCAGAATATCCATCCAAAAAACAATAAAAAGCCTGACGTGCCAATCTTTCCAACATCTGATCCATAAAATGAATAAGAAAATGATCCTTCCTTTTATTCAGCTTCCTATAATCAATGCACATCCTCCACCCAGTAACCATTCTAGTAGGAATGAGTTCATTTTTCTCATTATAAATTATTGTCATCCCACCTTTCTTTGGTACTACCTGTATTGGACTTACCCATGCACTGTCAGAGATAGGATATATAATGCCAGCCTCCAGAAGCTTCAAAACTTCTTTTCTCACCTCCTCCTTCATCATAGGGTTTAGTCTTCTCTGTGGTTGAACAACAGGTCTATAATCATCTTCCATAAATATTTTGTACATGCAATAAGTTGGGCTTATACCTTTAAGATTTGTAATTGACCATCAAATAGCTCTTTTGTTGGCTTTCAATACTTCTACCAACTTTTCTTCTTCTATGAGAGATAATAATTACTAATGATGATTGACTTCTTCCCACCTCCTTCTAAGAAAACATACTTTAAATGTCGTGGTATGATAACGGTTGAAATATCATTATTTTTATACTTAATTTTGATATTAAAAACACCCTTTATGACTTAGAAACTACCTTGAAATCATGTTTTTGCTTAAGTTGTGAGAATAAGAGAGTTGAAGGTGATATTATTGGTTTTATGCTTGGTTTTCCTTGTTTTGACAGGAATTAAGATGTATTGGATGAAGAAGTTGAAGTAGCAAGGAGTTGGAGTCAGGAAAGGCTGGAAAAGTAGCACATAGAAGAATCGCAGATAGCGCTGAGCGTCATTTTGGGGCGTTGAGCGCCAATTTCTTCTGTCTCACGCCTGAGCGCCACCGCTGAGCGTCAGTTTAGTGCCGCAACCACCGCTGGGCACCCTTTTGGGGCGTTGAGCGCCGACGACGTGGGCTTGGACCTGTTTTTTTGTTAGTTTTATGAACTATGTAAGGTTTTGGACGACCTAGAGACTGTATCTTTCGATAGAAAGAGGCGCAAAAACACTCCTTTCA